CTCGCTCGGCTCCCCTTTTGCTACCACTAAGAGCTTTGCTTCGTCCTCCTTGTTCTTGGCCGCAGCCTGGCCTGACTGGCTGTCTGTATCTACAAGGTCTTCGTCCGACTGGGTGGAGGCGGCGGCCAGCATGTCTTCCTCTTCCTCGGCTTCCTTTTTGCCCGGCAATGAATTATTCGTTTCCTGCTCCTGCTCCGCTTCAGAAGTGTCTTCTTTAAGGGGCTCAGATTTACAAGTGTCACCCAAAATGTCGAGCATTTTCTCATTTTCTATGGATTTAACAGGAATAGAATGGCACAAGGTTTAATCACCAGGGAAACATAGCAAAGACAAATGCGGAACGGCATGGCTGCCAGACTAACCCCGAGAGTAGGGCTAAGGCTACACAGAGATTGGAAAACCCTTTGGCAAACCACATTCACATGCCTAAAACCAACTGCAGTCTAACACGGCTACCAGAGCAGTGCCTGAAAGAGAGAAGGAAGAAAAACCTTTATGCACAAGGCTTCCCAGCGTGTTCCTTGGCTGTCTTCACACAAGTGCGCTGCATTTCCATTCTTCCAGAAACTCGCTTCAAAGTCCGGGGTGCTTATACAGACTGGCTCAATGTGTTTGACTGTTCAGCTTCCAGATTTTACCAATATTCTTTTAAGGAGACTAGTCCGTATGTGAACACCAGAAGAACTTCAGATGTGGTTGGAATACGTTTGTAGTCCAGAAAGCAAAGCAGAGGCATTTCCATGACCAACCCGTCTTCAGTCTTCGCGCAGCCGCTTAAAGATTTGGTCCCTGCTTTTACATTCAACTGTACTTCTCTAGCCAAAGTTACAGTCCCAAAGCCCTAAGCAATATCACAGGATCTGCTTTGCACATAGAACTGCTCCTTATACAGGCTCAGTCTGCTCCCCAGTTAAGGGAGTCAAAGCAAATTACTCTCAGAGGTCTGATACCGTGCAATAAGAATAGAAGGTGCTCCTGCAGATCTGGTGATATGACCAGATTTCCAATCTCTGTGGCTTTTTCTTTGGACGTGTTCTGGACCGTGCACCAGTTAGAATAATGAACTATAGCTACTTATGGAATAAAACCAAAGAGAGTAACTAAAGGGATTGGTGTGTGAGACCTAAAGTGGAAAACTCAGAGGAGGGGCAGTGTGTTTTTGAAGTACAGTACCTGGTTCCAAAGGAAACTCTTCAAGCTCCTATTAAGAAACAAAGAAAGAGTTAGGAAACCCCAAGAACGCTCAGCTCATCTGACATACGGCTTCCTTGTTTATATTGTTGTAACTTGCCCCCCGTGTCCACCATTTTTACTCCCAGCCTTCATTCTAGTGCAGTGGTGGCATGGAGGCAGAAGTCACACCTCCAGCTCTCAGCGCGAGTGCATCGCTTACCCCTGCTCACCATTTCCCTTCCACACTACAACAATGTCAGGAAACAGAATTTACAGGTCATCACAAAGTGGGGCAAGCAGAGGGATGATCCCAGTTGCCCAGCCCAGCAAAGCAAAGGGGCAACATTTAATTTGCCTTTAAAAAGATAGATGGGCAACAGCTATGCCTAATTTAGACTTAAAATTTCATCACTGCTTCTAATGAAACCAAAACATTTTCAATGCATCAATTACATTTTGCTATCTGCCACTTGATTTCAAAGTTATCATCTAAACAGCTTGCCTATCAGTTGCCTGGGGAGCTGATCAAGGAAGTTACGAAGATGTTACAGATTTCTGAATACAGATGTCCAAATACAGTTCAAACAGATACTCAAGCTATCTTGTCCACAATTCATATTTATTCGGGAAATCTCAACGTTTCTTCAATACCCAACTGCAACAGAACTCCATTCCTGATGCAGAAGTTAAAATCTAAACTTTTCTTTGGGGAAAAAACCCAAATATATAACATTGTTATAAGCTCTCAAGTATTTCGATAGCCACGTTCATGCCAGGAATGGAAGGCAAAGTCTCTGATAAAGACTTGCACAGCCACTGTGTGTGAACATAACCTGGCTTACAGAAACTCTCTGCTTGCAACCAAACAAGGGCAGTTTTACTACTGTATATGATTTTTTTCTGCAGGGAGAACAGAAAGGAGAAAAATGATGTCAACTACTTTTGCATATATTATTAATTTCATAATAAAGTTTAAATACCTTCATGTTTGCAAAATCGGCAGATGATAGATCTACGGTGCCACTGGCCTCTTCACTCTCTACCTATAAGAGATGCAGAAGAGCTTCACACTTCCTGAGAAGCTACCATTCGTTCACTGAAACAGGAAATCAGTTGCTCTTTCCTTGATCCATTATCCCCAAAACAAAGTTGGCAGGCAACGCAAATCTACTTGCTTTCCCAAATAATAAATGGAGCTAGAGAAATAAAAAGCGATGGACAAAATGAAAGCCGTCTTTTGATGGTGATGCTTCAATGATTGATGCTGTTGTTTCTTTGCTTTTGAATTGCTTTGGAACCCCTGTTTCTTTCTACGCCAATTTTCAAGGCATCTGGGAATCGCAAGACCCTAGGCCGGGCCACCCAAGATTGCTGCAAGTTACAGACCCACCATTCCTAGTGAACTCGATTCTGGGCAACCTGCTCCCTATCATTTTTTATAAAGATCGGATTCCACTTTGTATAGGCCAAAAGCAACAATGGATTACAATGCAACACCCCAAAGATCCAGGTGTGGACACCATCCAAAAGCATGCCAAACCCAAAGACTGAACTCTGCCTGAGCCTTCAGCACATCAATACCAAGCACGGGGAATCTGCCCTACCCTGGTTCAGCCTGACATGGGAAATGAAAGGCCAAACAGAGTTCCAGCGGTACATGTCCATATTCAAGTCTAAATACTAGGGATGTCCTGCACTTTGGATCCAAAGCCAAAACGGTGCGGGCACACAAGCTTCCAGTTGGCCACTCCTTACACAAGCTACATCTTTTCCCAAGCTCACCCAGCAGCCTCACCTCAAACGACCTTCTTCCTGATTCACAGCAGGTGCAGCGCACCCAGCCACCCACACACCAAAGCACGCTTTTGGCTCCAGATCTGAAGCGTAGCACAGCCCTACTTAATACGCGCTACTGAGAAAGTCTCTCAGGCAAATTTAGCTACTGCTTGCCTTCTACTAGCTCTGACTTGGGGCGGGAAGAGAAGCTGGAAGAGAACAGGCGCCATGAGCCAATCACAGCCTCCGTATCACTCATTTCCATGTTACAGAGATTTACGCACTTGCCACAGGCACTCACTGAGGTGACTGAGATGGCATAATTATTTCCATACCACCCAAGCCTAGAGTGTTTGATGGCCCAACCATCTTTTCAAGTCTTCTCTGTGAAGTGGGCCCTTATTACATTAAACTTGCACAGGGGGCAAGACTGCACATGGGGGAGCTGGAGGAAGAAAGGAGCATTTGGCCCTTAGCTACTAGCCCAGGACAGCCAGCTTCTCTTAACAGATATGTTCATTTTGGTGCACTTTCAAGCTTTCTAACTAGGGAACCCCCTAGCTGGAACAACAGAGGACAGCCAGGGAAGTGTTGAGGCTCTGGAATTCCTCTCAGTACCATGCTCGCTGTGGCTTTTATAAAACATTGAAGGCAAAGCTTGAAAGCATGAAATACCCTGTTTCAGCTGAGAGAGGACGCAGTCTTTATGAGACATCTTGCTCATAAAGTCACAAGTGACTCCTGTGCTTCTATCCCAGGATCAAAGGACACTGGTAAAGGATGCTCATAAGTTACCCAGAAGGCACAACTGCCATTTAGAATCAATCCTCCAAAGCTTCTAAGCAATTCCAGAGTTCTCCAGAAAACCATTTAAAATCCACTGCTCCAGAGGTCAGCCCAATGGGTATTTCCTCAAAATAAAAGTTTTGATGCTATGCTAAACCATGATTTGCTTAACCGTTGTTTGCTGAGTAAACTACCATTTGCTAGGTTCACACAAGCCAAACATAAACAAACTATATTATGGCTTAGCATGAGATATGAGCTCAGAAAAAAGGGTTTTGTGATGCTTTTAATTTGCAGAGATGGAGGCTTGCAAAGAGGAACTTAAAATTCATTCCTTCCTACTCCTGCCACACGTTGGCATTCAATGGTTCAGACTAGCTCTTGATCCTTCCCTGCCCCACAATTTCAATTTGGTTAAAATGCTTTACAAATTGGAATTGTGTCACAGAGTTGAATAGCACTATCATCCCAATTAAAACAAGCATACTTTAGAATCAGTTCACAAACCATTTCCAAACAAGCGTGCTTGGAATTGAACTTCCTCTCGTGTACTTTTGCCTAAGGGGATTATAGAAGCTGCTGAGTACAAAGTAACTAAAACATTTATTAGCTTTTGAAAACAAACAGAAGGTGGTGCTAGACAAAGATCTCAGTTCTACTAACTCATGAGTCATGCCACAAGTGACTTAAGCCTCCACATCCATCTTCTTCTAACACATGAAAATGAGTGAATGGAAATACACGCAGGGAGAAAACACAAAGCATTTCATTATTGAGAACAACGCTTTCTGGGGTTTTTCTAGTCTAAATGAGGCATGCACTGAAAACTTAGAAGTTGCAATCAAGGATGCCATGGCTATGGATGCACACACACAAGAAAAGCGAGGGGGGGGTTCGAAGGGAGTTTATTTTTAGATCCCTGAGTCATTTCTGTCCTTTCAGTCGGGGGGGAAAAAAATGAAAAGCCAACATGGTTATAGGGATGGTTAATTTATCTGCTCCCGAAGAAGTTGAAGAGATGCATACCACGGCTACTGGTATTTCTCTCGATTCTTCCGGAATGTCTGACAAGGGCGCAGCTGCCTCCATGTTACCTACAGCACCTCCTGCCAGCTGCTCTGGAAGTCCTCTCCTTTCTGCATCAGCACTCTCCTTACTGTCAAAGAGGGAGTCAAGTCTACTATCAGCACTGCTATCCTCTCGGCAGTCTACACCACTGCTGTTATCTATTGCAGCTTCATCTAACACACTAATATCCATCATGTCAATATCTTGCAAGTTATCCAAACTTGCTTCAATATCCTCCTGCAAAAAGAAAAAAAGCCACATATAATAGTTGCTGGGATTCCAACACAGAAGTTTTACAGGGCAACGGGTAGCCTATGTTTGCCGTACCTGTCCATCTCCGGCTTCATCTTCAAGTCCGTTGTCCTCCACTCCCTCTTCTTCGGGCCTACGCCCTAAAAAGAATAGAGTCCTTGAGCAAACACACACACATATGTATGTATAGGTATTTATAAATACCATTTAAGACCAAAGGCAGGCTTCTACTTGTAAACTGAGAGTATTTTGTACCAAGGAGTGGAATAAAAAAGGTTTCAAAATCAATACATACACCCATGTGCAGATACAAGTCAAAGAGGTCACTGACCTGTGGAATTATCTTCCCCCAATATCTGGTTGACCCTGACCTTCATGGTCTTTAGAAAGGGTCTAAAAGCCTGGCTCTTTCCCCAGGCACTGGGGCCAGATTGACTGAGTTCCTGCCTGGAGGGGTGTAATAGAAATTTGGGTTCCAATGGCCTATTAATTTTTGTTGTTATTAACTGTATTGTTTTATTCCTGCTGATTAATTCGAGTTGGGCACCTTCTGCCAGATGGGTTTACTGCAGTGCTTACATACAAGACGGTGTAGGTCCCAGTGAGAACCAGGCCTCGGATTGTCATCCTGCATATACTCCAGACTGGATGGGAAAACCAAGCTCAGGGAATGCCCAGAACCCAACAATGTTCTTTTTGTTTGGAGGCCACAGGCTAAGCTACATGTTATCTCTGTTGAGATGCCCAGGCACAGGAGGCACTAGAGAAACGGTTTCCAGTCCTTTGGTTACTTCCCTGAACACAGCAAATGCGAAGATGCCATCTGACTACCTAGGTCTTAAAAAAAATGCCTCAGCATTTGCAAGGAACCACTCAAAAGTCAGGAGTCTGACTTCTGCCAACAAATGTAACCCTTTGCATCACCGTTATCTGTTTCCTTGTATACCTTTACTGCTTCTTTTGGGCACTTTCTTGGGAATTATTTCTGACACCACTGGAATCTCATCAGGATGTCCTCCCTCTTCCTCAATAGCCTGTTAGAAAGAGACAACGTCAGCATTTATAAGCAGAACAGCACTGAATTTGGCAGAAAATACCACTGAGGACAAGGTGTAGTAATCAGGGTTCAATCTGTGACAGCCACTGACCTATAATGAGGACGCCAAGCAACACAGACCCTTGTGGCATGCCACGTCCACGTTCACGTTCAATACCAATTACTGAGATGTTGCCCAAGCTAATTTTGGACCTTCATTAGGCAAGGAAGCAAGGCACTAGGACTTGAGTGTAACTGCAATGGCCCAACATAATGCTCATGAAAATACAGTGAACCGGGTCACATATCTAAAAGTCCCCATTTTTTTTTCTGTCATGAACTTACCAAATGGTTTCAGGCAAGCGGCTCATCTTAAAATCACTCCTCCCATTCCCTCTGCAATTAGGAGCAGCCTTAAAACGATCATTGCAAGTATTAAAGCTATATAACACCCAAAGCATTTTGAGCACTTGAAATGCTAGGCGTATAATTCCCTCTCTCTCTCTCTCTCTCTCATTCTAATCAGATCATATTTCACTTGGAACATCTGACTGTTAAGCATCTTCCTTTCTATGCTAACAAAAACTATAATTCTCTTACTGAAGACTGGTGGGTTCATTTGCACTGTTAATTAAAAGTGGACCAAAAAACTGACATAAAATTGTGAGTAAAAATGTCCACTGGCCATGGATCATGCTGCATGAAGGTCAGTTTTCTTTGACTTTTTGCTTCAACATCTCTCCAGCCAAAATGAACACTTATCAGCAAACATAAGCCTTGTGTACCTCTGTGTTGTATGCAGATGCAAATGTTTTTAAAAGATGCTGGGTTTTATTTTATTTTGACAGGAAGAATGCAGTGGCGGTAAAGTATGGCTTATAGAAATTCATGGAGAATAATTTGACTACAGAGAGTCCCCTACTTGCAAACTTTCATGTTGTGAACTTTCACTGATATGAACAAGATGGACCTGGAAGTCAGAACCAGAAGTCAGGAAAGGATTAGTTTGCAACATGTTGCAAGCTAACCCTTTCCTGCCTTCTCCTGCCTTCTGCTTGCATTTGAGGTTTGCACTGGAGCTGGAGTTCTCAGAAAGGGTTAGTTTACGCGGCACCCTCCACTGCCGGGTGAGGCAGGAGAGGGAGTGGTGGCCAAGGACAAGGGAGAGGGGGTGGAGGGCTCCTGCCTCGCCCAGCAACAGAGTGCGCTGCACCCCACCAACTCGTCCTTCGCTCCTCTCTCCTCCGCTACCACCCCCTCTCCTGCCTCACCTGGCAATGCATTGGCAGCAGAAGACAGGGCTTCTCTGCCCACACCACTGCCCTGCCTCCTGCTCTTTTTTTTAAACTTTTTACTTGATTGGACTTACGAACAGTCTCTTGGAACGTAACCTGTTCATAAGTAGGGGACTGTCTGTACAAACCTCCATGGCTTTTACTGCCTCCATAATCACAGGCGGCCTCTGAATACCAACTGGCTGAGGAACACCTGCAGCTGTTGTGGACTTGCTGAATAGAACACTGGACTAGGTGGTCTTCTGGCCTCATCCAACATGGCCCAGACTGTTTGTGTTTACTTCCTTCCTAGAGGCAACTCTCACTTCTGTCCTAGAAAGGCAAACAAACCTACATCTATAGCACCAAAGAACTGAGGGACACCTGAAGTGTAAAAAGGTAAGAACAGCTCTGCTGCATCCGGCCAACACACATCTTAGTCTAGCTTGTTCTTCCTCAGGACAGGGGAAGAGATGGTGAACTGAAGACGGCTTCACGAAAAGAGGAGCCGACAAGAGCCAGTGAGTAGACCGGCTCTTTGTAATTCCTCTCCAGATGAGGAGAGGACCTGAGATTGTCCACAAGCACTCCAGACAGTTGCTCCTCGTGAGGAGACCGACCACAAGACAGCAGTCTCCAGCCAATTTCGAGCTCTGGGAGACAAGGGAATACACATCTTGCTCAAACCAGGGTCAGCACCTTTAAAAGGACACCAGGTTCGCATACTTCCTTTTCTAATCACTTTTGAAGATTGCTTTTCAGCTATTAAGAATCTTTGGATCGACGTGTTTTTACAGCACTGAGTGAGTTTCCTTCAATCTTTAGCAAAAGAAGTTTTAAATACAAGTTTAAGGACTTAAGTTTTTTTTTTCTGGAATAAATAGCAAAAGGGTGATTAAAATTTTGATTTTAGAAAGTTACAAATGGACTAAGGATCCAGATAAGTTTGCAATAAGATTTTGGAATTAATTATAAACAATCCTTCCTGTGGGGAAATGCTTTTGTTTTGAATTCTTTAAAAAAAACATAATAAGGTAAAACTTTAAAAACAGGACACTAGAGGGAACTAGAAGGAACTAAAGATTATAATTAAAGGAGAAGAACATTCAAACTCGACTTACTAATATAAAATGAAGCACCATATTTTAACATTGGACGTATTGAAGGATATTTTTGAAGAATGGACGCAGATGTTAAGAGTGTCTGCCTCTATAGATAGACTGTATTTAAAAGATACTATGGAAGAGGAACAAATATTACTTGACATGATTGAGACTGATT